CCTGCTAGCAGGGCTGTGCATGGATGGTGTTCCTATAAAGCCTATTCATTGCTTTGTAAATCCTAACAATCGTTTAACACCACAATATGAGTCAAATGACTTCTTCAAGATGTTTTTTCTCACAAACTCTAAATAGGAGCTCCTTTTATAATCTGGTACTTTGCCTTCCTCAAGAGGAGAACTGCCTAAAATGTCACTCAAACAGAACATTATACATGAGCCATTTCTCTGCCTTTTATTTGGAAGAAAGTTGTTCTGGAGTATTCTTCAGAAATAGATATCTGCAGCTTAGTTGAATAGTGTCTGCGATTTTATAATAGATGCTCGCAAGTGCTATCTATATTCAGGATTTCAAGGTTGAAGTTGTTTGTGTTTATTCTTCAAATTTGAGTATAAGAGAGATGGCCACTTAATTTTTAAGTGGTAATAAGTCACTTAGTCTATGGACTCACTAACCTATGGACGCCAAGTTTTAGCTATCTCATCAGCAATGAAATATTATGTGGATGTCTGATTCTATGTAATAATAATTAACAGCAGCTATTTCTTAATATCACAATTTCAGCTAACAGTTTGAAGATGGCTCATGAAGGAAGATCGCACCACAACCTCACAGGCCTAGTTGAGAGGAATTAGCAGCGCTTGAGTGAATGACGGCACAGACTGCACGATACAGGAAACTGAAGAACTGCCTGTCACCACATGGCTACGGATATCCTTCAAGCCTTACATCATTTCAGACAATAATAAGCTTTTAAACACCAAATCCTATAAGACATAGGCCATGTGGTTTATTTATAATGAAATGTTTAGACACAATATTTAGATTGATGACAATAACGCAGTTTTATAGTACAAAAAGTAATAACTTGAAACAGGTTCATTCACTGAGAACAAATGAGCACATGAAGATGAAAAACTCAAGAACTTCCCTAAATATAATTCAGAGTCCATCTATCTATATACAAATAATGCAGACGTACAGAATTTACCAAGATAAGTTAAGCTATCTTCCAGTTACTACCACAGCATTAGGGATAAATCGATACCTAAGACATAGCTTTTAACGTTGATGGGGTTACAGCCCAGAGCGGAACATGTGAACAAGGCCCTCCGATGTATCCTGACGAGCGCTGTAACAGACACGCACGCCAAGCACGTAACACGGGAGAGGAAGCAACTCAGGTGCAGAGCCGGGATTAGAAACACGAAACAGCTGCAGAGGGTCGGCCTGGAGGGGCTGTGATGGAGAAGGAGCATCTCACCTCTCCCCCCTCCTGCATTGGCTTCTCAAGACTCTACTTCAGCTTCTCAGAAAGATACTGATAACTTTTCATACAACACAATGGTAGAAAATTCAAGAGATGGAAGAGATTTTTCTGGAAATGTCAACCTGGATGTTCCTATTCCTTTGTGCAGAAGGCCACTCACTTTGGCACTGGGGCAAGTGGATCCCGAAAGGAGATCTGAAATCCAAGCAACATATGGTCCCTCTAGGAATGCTCTGAATTAGAAAAACGCTTACCAGTGTGGTTTCGCAATTTAAAAAGAAATGTGAGATTGTATCAATAGCAAGATAAACTGAAGTCTGTGAGAAAAGCAAAGGAACCAAAACTGTCTAGCTGGAAACAGATCGATAGATGGATTTGAATGATGAATTTTTCACATCAGACAGTGTCTCCTCCTATCCAAAAATTAAGTTGTATCAAGATCCATCAGACTAGAAAGACTGTAACTATACAAAATCAACAAGTAAAAATCTTTTGTTTTATTGAATATCAGTATTTCAAAAGTAAAATAAATGGGGCCAGCAGACCTCACAGGCCTAGTTGAGAGGAATTAGCAGCGCTTGAGTGAATGACGGCACAGACTGCACGATACAGGAAACTGAAGAACTGCCTGTCACCACATGGCTACGGATATCCTTCAAGCCTTACATCATTTCAGACAATAATAAGCTTTTAAACACCAAATCCTATAAGACATAGGCCATGTGGTTTATTTATAATGAAATGTTTAGACACAATATTTAGATTGATGACAATAACGCAGTTTTATAGTACAAAAAGTAATAACTTGAAACAGGTTCATTCACTGAGAACAAATGAGCACATGAAGATGAAAAACTCAAGAACTTCCCTAAATATAATTCAGAGTCCATCTATCTATATACAAATAATGCAGACGTACAGAATTTACCAAGATAAGTTAAGCTATCTTCCAGTTACTACCACAGCATTAGGGATAAATCGATACCTAAGACATAGCTTTTAACGTTGATGGGGTTACAGCCCAGAGCGGAACATGTGAACAAGGCCCTCCGATGTATCCTGACGAGCGCTGTAACAGACACGCACGCCAAGCACGTAACACGGGAGAGGAAGCAACTCAGGTGCAGAGCCGGGATTAGAAACACGAAACAGCTGCAGAGGGTCGGCCTGGAGGGGCTGTGATGGAGAAGGAGCATCTCACCTCTCCCCCCTCCTGCATTGGCTTCTCAAGACTCTACTTCAGCTTCTCAGAAAGATACTGATAACTTTTCATACAACACAATGGTAGAAAATTCAAGAGATGGAAGAGATTTTTCTGGAAATGTCAACCTGGATGTTCCTATTCCTTTGTGCAGAAGGCCACTCACTTTGGCACTGGGGCAAGTGGATCCCGAAAGGAGATCTGAAATCCAAGCAACATATGGTCCCTCTAGGAATGCTCTGAATTAGAAAAACGCTTACCAGTGTGGTTTCGCAATTTAAAAAGAAATGTGAGATTGTATCAATAGCAAGATAAACTGAAGTCTGTGAGAAAAGCAAAGGAACCAAAACTGTCTAGCTGGAAACAGATCGATAGATGGATTTGAATGATGAATTTTTCACATCAGACAGTGTCTCCTCCTATCCAAAAATTAAGTTGTATCAAGATCCATCAGACTAGAAAGACTGTAACTATACAAAATCAACAAGTAAAAATCTTTTGTTTTATTGAATATCAGTATTTCAAAAGTAAAATAAATGGGGCCAGCAGGTGGTGTGGTGATTAAGGTGCTAGACTCTCATATGGCCAACTCCATGGTTCGAGTTCCAAATCCAGAGGCTTGAGAATAGAGCTAGGTGCAGGTGTGTGCATGCCCCAAATCCCAAGGAGAGAGTAGAGGAGAAGGGATTATGGCCTGGCCATCACCACTGGTGGGTGATTTCTCACTTTTCCTCTCTCTGTCTCTTTCTGTCTCTCTCTAGCAAGCACACGCTCTATGGCTAAAAGCTAAAAAAAAAAAAAAAAGAAGAAGAAGAAAAGTAAAAAGTGTAGCTAGCATTACAGTGTCAAGTTATTAGTGTATGCATAGTTTAAATCCATTTATTCTATTTTTGAAACTTTTTTGTCATAGTTTTCTAAATAATTTAGTCAGGATCTAATGAATTAGATATATGACAGGATTTCATTTGAATTTTTATACTTGAATAATCTTAGCAGACTAAAAATGAAGCAAAAATGAATTTTCCATGACAACAGTGGTATGGTGGTTAAGGCAGTTGGATTCCCACATGACCAACCACAGTTTTAGTCTCAGATCCAATGTTTTGAAAAATCACACCAGGTACATGCACATGTGTGCGCAAAATCCTGAGAGGAGAATAGGGGAGGAGGCATTATTGTTCATTCCCATCAGGGAGTGACTTCTCACTTTCACTCTTTGTCTGTCTCTCTCTAGCAAAAACAAAACAAAACAAAAACAAAGTATCTAAACATGCTTTAATACAAATGTCCATAAGATTTGAACCCAGAGGAAATTCTTACTGTGATGAAAGTAAAATATCTGAACCAAATCTTTAGTCCTGAAATTTTCTAGGCACTAATAGAGTCTCTTGATCTATATGTGAGGATAACTCATACCCATAAAAGTGGGCTGGATTTAAAGCAAGAGGAGACAAATTTTATACATAAGTTACATCTCTGTTATAAAAACTTTACACTGAAGTGAATAGAGTTATAAGTTATATTGATCTAAAGTTCTTTAAAACAATACTAGCAGAATGCAATTGTATGTGTGGGCTCATTATCCAGGGCAATGGGAATAAACAAAGCTTCCACATAACCCACAAGTCGAGATAATCAAAGAACCTTCTCCATGGGCTCTATACAACGACTGGCCATATCGGCCCAACAGGTCAGGCCTTTTCACACTTTCTCCTGTATGTCAGGCCCATAGTAATGTTAATGTAAATTCGTGGAAGGGAGTTTGAAGGAATTTTGCTGCACGACCTAGCTAGGATGGCTAAATGGCAGTGGGATAAATGACTTTTTATTACACATTTTCAATACACAATAAATTAATCCAAATCCTAACCAAACTGTAGATGAATAAATCAAGTCATGGAGAATTGGTTTGTGGTTTTTTTTTTTTTTTTTTTTTTTTTTTTTTTTAATGCTATAGGGTGTGTGTGCTCGCCAGACAGACAGAGAGTGATAGAGAGACAGAAAGCGAGAAATCACCCCCAAGGGGGGATGGCCACACCGCAATCCCTTCTCCTCCATTTTCTTCTCAGGATCTTGGGCACGCACGCAAACGCGCCCGGCGTGAGTTTAAGCCACTGGGTCCGGAGCTTGAACCGCAGTTGACTACATGGGAGCTCAGCGACATAGCCATTATGCTAACTGCTGGTCCCTTTTTTTTTTTTTTTTGAGAACTACTGATTAAAAGAGGAGATGAGATGGTGTCTCTTGACTTCTAGGAACCTATCAGTGCTAACTTGGAGAAGACACACCACGAGGGCCTCTTCCTTTCTTTAATAATCATAAAGGTAAATACTCATCTAGAGCATTACTGAGACCAGGTACTACCCTAAGCTTCTTCTGTATTGTCAGGCCCTGCGGCCCTGCACCACCCTGAGTGAAGGCACCCTTGGCCCTCATTTCACAGAAGACAACATGGGCTGCAGGAGCTGTGAGGTGTGCAGCTATCAGGGTTCAAACAAGGACCCAGACAGTAGCAGTCTGGCTCTCAAAGTCTGTGTGCGGCATTCCCACTGCAGACTCCCTTCCTAGCTAGAGTCCAAGCCTCTCATCACTGTGGATGGACCCAGTCACATCCACATGGAGGGACCCCATCTAGGCAGGACAGAGCATTTGCCTCCATGGGATCAAGTGAGCTGTGTCAGACCAAGCAGTGTGTGCGTACTTACACAGGTGCCAAGGAGGGAGGGCCACTCACTCAGGGTGTGTGCTTGGGGACAACAGGGACCTGCTCCACAGAAGGTTTCCATTGGAGTCTCTCGAAATGCAGCCTTACTATTTTCTGTCTACCACCATCCCTTTCCCTATCCTATCCAAGTCTTCTTACTGCTCAGGGTACCTCACAATTTCAACTCCACTTTCCAGGAAACAATGAAGAAAAGTTTATAGTGTTTAAAAATAAATAAATAAATAAGTAAAACTATGAAGTTGAGCCACTGTATCTCTGTATTAAAATATAAACAATTAAATATATATAGAGAAACAATTCTGGGTCTGGCAGATGGCATAGTGGTTAGTCACTGGACTCCCACATGGCTGACAACAGTTTGAGTCCCAGACCCAGTAGCTTGACAATCATGCCAGGTGTGTAGGTATGCATGCCAAAGGAGACTGCAAGATGACAACCTCTTCAGAATTCTCATGCCAGAATCTACCCCCAGCCTCAGCCAGCCTGTATCCGGGACACACATGCATGTGGCTGATGTGCTCAGGGAGGTCCCAGGACACAAACCCAGGACCTTTCTTGTATGGTTCCAGTTGTGTTACTGCTGTACTACCTCCTGGTTCACTACAAAGTTTTAAATAAACGTTCTTTCACTTGTGAGTTATTGACCCTTTTGTAAAATCTAAAAATGGTAATACGCTTCTTCCCACTCTAAATGCACACTCATGCATATTTGCATATGGTTTATTTAGTCAGAATATGTTTACTTAACAATTTCTAAAGGTTCATGGATTCACGCAAAAGTTTCTACAGTAATGCAATGTTATTATTCTCATTTACAAATAGCAAAACAGGGGCTGAAATGTTAATTAACTTATACGGGGCATACTGCTAGCATATGAAAATAAAGCTCTGAGATAAAATCTCACTCATTTTATGCTACACTATTTATTCGTCAAACAAGTACACCTGCACATACTCTGCACCAGGTGCTGTGCTGGGCTCGTGGGACATGACTGAAACAACATTGCCATTTGGACTTTAGTGACCAGAGAAGACCCGACTAATGCCAGATCAAGAAAACAGAGGAGAAAAAAAAAATCAGAGAAAAGACATACTCATTTGTTTCCTAATCTAGCAAGAAATCCAGCCTTACCTAGAAAAGTAAGAAGAAAAGGTAAGAGGGAAGAAGTAAAGGTAAATATCTATGAAAATGGAATTTCCAGTGGCGTGTGCCAATACAGCAAATGCAAGCCTCTGTACAGTCGTCCTTGCACTTCCTTTGCTGCAGTGTTCAGCGGAGCCTGCTGATTGACTGGAGTCAAGGACAGTCTGTCACAGGAGCTGCAGCCGCTTCTTCTGCAGCTAGACCTTGCATTTCAGCCCAGGCGGGAAGCTTACAAACTTGATGTGGAAGCCAAATGACTCTTACTGCACACACAGATTTAACATAGGGACTCGCGTGAAAACGGGAAAGCATGACTAGAAATGGTATTTCGAGGAAATATTGATGTTTTCATAGCCTTCCTCAGAATTCCTAGGACTCACAATACTCCAATAAGACTTCCAAAGCAAAGTCTCCTTTAGCAGAAGCCCTTCTAAGACAGGAGGTGGCCTCTAGTGACTAGATAAGAAATCACAAAGTCTGCGTGCGCTAGGAATAGACCGGAGTCGTAGAGCCTGTGAAGAACAATGACTTCGTTTCTTTTGCTGCTATCAGTACAAACACCACACGGTGGCACATGTTCTCTCTCTCTCTCTCTCTCTCTCTCTCTCTCTCCCTCGGTTTGCCACAGGTGATTTCCTTCTCCTCTCCTTTGGCGGTTACCGCTCTCCTCTGTCTCATCTTTTCTCCCCTGGCCCTTCCTATTTCTTGCCGCTCCTTGTCTACCCCACCCTGTATCCTGCTGCTGCCTTCCGAGTCATCGGTTTCCCTCAGTGCTCAGGAGGCAGATGGCAGACCCATTTTGTTGAGTGGGAGTGCCACTTTGTGCCAGCCTGCGGGAAAACAGAGTGGAGGGACTGCTGGTATGGATGGCAGTAAATTAAGGTAACTAGCCCAACAATTGGCAAAATTTTAAATATGGCAACCAAAGGCTTAAAGAATCTGATGAAGATAGCACAGAGCACAGGGCCAGTTATGCCATCTTGTTAAATCGAGCATTATGCTCTCATCTGAAACTATCTTTGGTAGGATATTTTACACACACACACACACACACACACAGAGAGAGAGAGAGAGAGAGAGTAGATGGACTATCATTTTAAAAAAGAAGTTAAATAAGAGCCAGGCTGACTGAAATCACACAGATTTTGATTAAGTCAAAACTTATGGATACCTAACAGGTAAAACTAAGATGACAAACTTCAAGATCATTTAAAAACACAGCAGAGTTACTTCATTAGCCTTTATATTCTGGCAAATGCATTTTAAATGTCAATCATTTAGGCCAAATCCTCAGACTTTCACTTCAGTTTGCTAGGGAACCTGAGCTTAGATAAGAAACCAGTTTCAAAATATTCCCATATCTGTCCTATCCTGAGAATCTTTTTACATTTCTATATTTAATCCAAATCCCATTTGTGTTTATCATTATTCCATCTCTGTGTGTTGTGAGCATTAAAAATTAAGAGCAAAAAAATGAAAATATTTCTAACAGCATTATCCCTTATTAGTGACTATGGGGATACCCTTAAATATAATAACAAAAAGATCCAAATACGAATATGCACGCCCACACAATGCACACACAACTCTTAAAGTTATCAAAGAGCTTAATGGAGCAAAACCCCTATACCTAATATTAATTTTCTGAAAAATCTGAGACAGGAAGTCATCATGATTTTTCTTCTACTGCTTCTAGAATTATAAGGAACAAAAAAGTTAGCAGCCAGAGACTTGCTTCTTAAAAATTATGTACACAAACCATCCTAAAGCAAGCAAAATGGAAGTACTTCAGAGTAAACGTACATTGGATGACTTGTGGGTAGAAGCAAACATTCTCATCCTCTGTGTAGATGACTGGTCTTGCCTGTCCATCTGACCGAAGTCCCACGAACAGCCCTGGGCTCTTTGTAGACTCCAGGCTCACGGATGCATTTTCCAAGTTCTTCTTCATTTTAAAATGACAGTCAGCATCTCCTGTGCCCTACAATCAACACAACATAGTTTCGTAAATGTGAGCAAACACTGAAGTATAGAATTTAAAACCAGTTGTTATAAGAATGTAATTTTGCTTCATTTTCTTTCTTTCTTTCTTTTATTTATTTTTTTATTTTTTTTGGAGAGGTTTTTGCTATAGGGCGCATGTGCTCACTAGAAAGACAGAGAGAGACAGAGAGTCAGAAAGTGAAACTTTCTGATATCCCCAGGAGAGATGGCCACACCACAATCTCTTCTCTTCCATTTTCTTCTCTGGATCTTGGGCACACACACACATGCACCTAGCATGAGTTTAAGCCACTGGGGCTGGGACTCAAACCATGGTCAACTACATGGGAGTCCAGTGACATAGCCATTACACCAACTGCTGGTCCCTTTCATTTTCAAATCATCACGATAAATCTAGAACATTTTCATATAAATTGCACTATGTACTTCATCCTATTCCATAAGCTCCAGAAACAGAGAATGTGTGATAGGCTGAGACAAGTCACATGACTTTGAGCAAAGAGCTCTATACCATAGAGGAGCTTTGATCTAGGAGCACACATTTGTGCTATATTTCATATCAAAGGTGATCACCGTCATGGGTGAATATAGAGCATTCAGATGTGAAATTTTCCTTCAAAAAGTACTCTAAAATGATGGAAAAAAAGACCGTTTTTACCATAAGCCCATTTACTTTTAAATATAAAGTTTCTGCGTTATTTTGCACTTTCCAGATTAGATTTCCATAGAGTACACAGAAATTACTCAAATCTGTACAGCATAACCTTCAAGAATTAGATGCTATATTCTACACCATCTCTCCCTTTTCCAAGACATTCATAACCTAATATTAGAAAATATTTTACCTTTGGGACCAGTAGATAGCATAATGGTTACATCACTGGACTCCCACATAGTCAACTGCGGTTCAAGTCCCAAACCCAGCAGCTTAAAACTCATGTTGGGCATGTATGTGTGCATGCCCAAAATCCTTAGAAGAGAATGGAGAAGGAATTGCAGCATGGCCAGCCCCCTGAAGGGTGATTTTTCTCTTTCTGTCTCTCTGTGTCTCTGGCAAGCACACACACCTATAGCAAAAATGTCTCTTTAAAAAAAAAAGAAAATATTTTCCTTTCTCATAGAATTTCAGTTTCAGAAAAGGTTTTGAAAAAATATCATTAAAATTTCCAATAGCAACTATTAATTTACTTGTAACCAAAAATTATATTCTAATCTCTAATCAAATATGAGCCTCTTTGTTCAGCTGCGGTGGCCTGCACCTGACACTGCTACTTGGCAGGCTGAGGCCACATGGCAGGCCTACGTTCAGTTCCTGGTCCACCCTAAGAAAGGCACAGTGGTGTGTAATGTAGTCCCCCCTACTCAGAGACTGATGCCTTTCTAATAATCTCGTTATTTACCCAATCAGTTTTACATCCCTTTGTATTTTTCTAATATCTGTCAGTCAACATAACCTCAATTCTTCCCTGTTCTTCAGGTATTAGCCTTGGAGTTCCCTTTCTTTTTTTTTTTTTCTTTTTTTTTTTTTTTCTTTTAAGTGTAGGGCACGTGCACTTGCCAGAAAGACAGAGAGAGACAAAGAGATAGAAAGCGAGAAATCACCCCCCAGGGGGGATGGGCTGCAATCCCTTCTCCTCCATTCTCCTCTCGAGATCTTGGGCATGCACACACACACGCCTGGCATGAGTTTAAGTCATCGGTCCAGGGCTCGAACCGCGGTCAACTACATGGGAGTTCAGTGACATAGGCATTACACCAACTGCTGGGTCCCATGACATGTTTTTCTATGTAAAAATGTGTCATGACTTTTCCAATGATCCAATATAAGCATTATTTTTACTGAAAAAATCAATTAATAAAACTAGGCATATTGGAACATTCTAAAACTATTAGTGTACTTTAGGTAAATTGTAGTAGGCTTTTGAGTCAGATACAGTAATTTCATAATTATTCTTCTAAATTTTAGGTTCCCCCAAAACTATCATGAATCACGCCTATGAAACCCTTCCCCAGACATGTCTCTTTCCATGAATATACACAGAACTTGGGACTTACCTCTCCAGCAATTTTCACACTGTAGGGTAATTATCTGTTTACATTGTTTTGGGTCTTCAGAAAAGTCGTGACACTTTTTTTGCATAGAGAAACAGAAAACTACATCATGACTTTTTCAATAACCCCATATTTTCCCCTTTTAGATTATAAATTTTCCTGCTTTTCTTTATTTACTGAAAGTTTATTGTTTCTGCCTTTCAGAAGAAACTTAATGTTTGGTAGATCTTTAAAAATGTTGTTTTTGGCGGGCTAGGAGGTGATGTGGTAGTTAACACACTGGACTTCCAGATGGCTGAATGCAGTTCAAGTCCTGAACCTGGCAGCTTGTTTTCTCACTTTCCTTGTCTCTGGTGAGCACATGTACCTTTTAGGAATTTTAAAATAATAATAACAGTAATAATAATAATAATAAAATTAAATACAGAATTCTGTAAAAAAAAATAAAAGGTTCCTTTTTTGCTAATTTCTAACTTCATAATTAGCTCACATAATGTCTCTCTCTTCTCTGATCATTAAAGTGGAATTATTCTCTCTAAAATTCACCCTTTCAGGAAATTTCTGACTCACTCTCTCTGTCCAAATCAGCCTGCCTCTCCTGAGCCTTTATAGAAGCAAGTGAACCATAACAACTGATAGAATGAGATTTCAGAGTCACTATTGTTCTCGAGATCCGTTGTGTATGCCTCTATTTGTTCCCGCTAGTACCACCCGAAGGAATGATATTTTAACTTCTCTTTGAGTACAATTCGTGAAAAGAATGAAAACAAAATTTTATCCCGGCCTTCCTTAATTTAAAACTTTGTTTTATGCCTAACCCAAATACAGACTGTTTAAAGAGATACAGGTAGAAAATTAAAATATGTGGACTCTAAATGCCAAGCAGTCTTCTTGTGTGCACTCCTACGTATGAGTAATGAATACCACCTGGACAAAGCCATGCTGGCACACGTGAGGTGTGCTTACTCCACTGCGAGCTAATGTGGCGTCTTCTGCCTGTTTCCCTCTACTGGGATCTTTTGTAAGACAACTCCTAGCTACTGAAAAACCCAAGTGATATTTTAACTTCTCGTTCTCGCAATATTTGTTGAACACCTACCAAATGGCAGGTCCTGCTGTAGAATTCAGGATATTTTAACAAACAAAGCAAACAAGACTCACTCTCCTGCGGTGACTGCATCCTAGTAATAAACATTCTGTACCCTGGAGTATTATTGATGCTACTCATAGGCCTTCTCTTTTCCAAGATCAATCACTCAACAGTTTATTCCCTTCTTAAAGCAGATTTGCTCCTGAGGGGGGGAAATCTTTGTTGCTATTCTCAAGGCCCTCTATATAGTCTTCAAATCTCTTTCATGCTCTGAGATCAAAACTAATGCATGAAACTATGGTCTACAATACTAGTGAAATATGAGACTATTTTCTAGAAAATTCAAACAAAATAATTTATCATGCATGTGGCTATGTATACAACCCCATATTTATTAAAATCAGTTTTCTAAAATATTTTCAATTAATTACAAAATTATTGTAAATTATTTACATAAAACTAAGACTTTTACTATTTCATTTCTTAACCCATTGGTTTAACATTGTGTATACCTAACCTATGTATATTCTTTCATATGTATTTATATTTTAATATCTTACGAATATGAATAAAATCTTCAATTCTTTCCATCTGAAAAAAATATACATTGAGCAATGAGACAAAATTAGAGAAGTTTGTGATGCGAAAATCTCCCTAGCTTCTACAAACCAAACTTTGGCCCATGAACAAGTATCCTGTTGGTGCGAGGTGTTATGTGCACACACGTGCACAGGCGTGCACACGTCTTGTTACGGTGATCACTCTTAAGCTTGTTTTTCCCACAACTCCCATGGCTTTTTTCCCTTCATACTTATGCTTAGTAAGTCCCACACATGTTGTTCTGAGGCTTGTTTTTCTTCTTTAAATTAACAACTTTACCATTGTCCCCAGTGAACCCCTCGCTGTTTGTTGCTGATTTGAGTCTATTACATCAAAATCTGTTAAAGCGATTTACTCCTACAGGATGACAATTCTATGGTAACAGAAACAGAAACATTTGTTACAGGATCAGCATCACTTGATTTAAATATAAGTGTGTTTGCCTATAAGAAATGTTTTCAAGTGTACAATAGTAGACACATTGGATTCATTAATGCTTTTATTCAACTCAATTTATTACAGTAAGTGTTTGTTGGGTATAGAGGGGACTGAGGTACTGTTAGGTTTTCAAGGAATGTGAGCATGCATTACCATTTACCTTTGAATACAGCTCAAATCCCTTTGGAGATTGTAAGCATGCTTTCCCACGGCCTCTAAACATATGTAAAGTCAGATAGTTAAGAGCATTATTACCATTCTACTTTCCAAAGTTTTGTCACTGCAATCTAGTGGATTCCTGGTCAGATACAGTGAAAGTAAAAAATAATATGCTTCATTGTTATGCATCAATACTATTGGGGAAGACCAAAGAAGTATATGCATTTTGCCTACCCATACTTCAGATGGAGAATTTTACAGTCAGACTACCAAATTAACTAGTCATTAAACAAGTTATAATATAAAGAAAACACTACAGTGGGACTAGCAGAAGTAAAATATAAATGAAGGTTTTCTGTGGAGGTTCCTCTCTATACAAGTATTGATGTAAAGACTAAAAATCAATGTGGAGTGGAGTGACCCTCAGGCCATGGCCTCAGAGTACTCTTTTAGGCCTCTTAACTTTGCATGTCTGATATGTGCCATAATACTGGCCACACAGGGTCCAGAGGACAAGTCTGAGCTGACCCACATGTCCCGTGACAGCACGTGTGAAAGACTATAGCCAAGAGGCCAACCCTAATGGAAAGCATGGGCAGGACTGAGCAGGACAGGACCATGGCTGGTCAGGACAATGGGGCACAGCAAACGCTCCCCCAAACATGGCACATTGGCATACTGAAGGAGACTGGGAAAACTGCAGAGGCAGGAAGGTCTCTTCCATCTTCTCCTGACTACTGGCTCCTAAACAAAAGCAATAGTAAGCCAGCCAGAAGGCGTACGGCTAAGGTGGCTGATCCCACACGGCTGAGCGCACGGTTACAGTCCTAGAGTGTGAGCCACGTGCCAGGTGCATGTGTATGTGTGTGTGTGTCTTCCCTTAGACCTGGAGGGAAGGAATGTCACGTAAGAACTAGAGAAAGATCTGAACAGAGAAGCCTTACTAAGTTTCCACAGTCTGTTACCATCAGATAATACCTTTTGTTCCCTAATCATACCTCTATATGACTGTCCATAAAAATTTTCCCTGGGTTAGGTCAGCAGGTGTCATGGTGGTTAAGGTGCTGGACTCTCACATAGCTAACCACTTTGAGTCCCAGACCTAGCAGTTTACATTCTCATTTTCCCACTCTCTCTCTCTCTCTGTCTCTGGTGAGCACGCATGCCCTGTAGTAAATTAAAAATAATAATGATGACACATAAAGCTAAATGAGTAATTCTTTAAAGAAAAAAATCCCTGGGTCTTTGGTTCTTCATTTCTGAAGGCTCCTATGTCTGTAAAATTTACATTAAATAAATGTGTATAGGGAACAGCAGGGGCAGCATTAAGGTTCTAGACTCCCATGTAGTTGACCATGGTTCAAGTCCTGTACCTGATGACTTAAAACTCATGCCAGGTGCGTTGTGCACATATGCCCAAAATCCCGAGAGAAGAATGGAGGAGAAGGGATTGTGGCATGGCCGTCCCCTGCCGGGAAGGGGGTTAATTTTTTACTTTCTATCTCTCTATATACCCTAGAGCAAAAATCTCTTTGAAATAAATAAATAAATAAATAAATGTATATGTTTTTCTCTTATTAATCTGTCTCTTGTTATAGGAGTCGCTACCATCAACTTTTCAATGAATGAGGAAAAGATATAACAGTTTCTCCCTACGATTAAAATAATTAAATTTAGAAACTCTTCAACTCTGACCAACCTTTTTTTCTTTATTCTTTTATTTATTTATTTATTTTTAAGATTTTTGCCATCGGGCATGTGCACTCATCAGAGAGAGGCAGTGAGAGGGAAAGTGAGAAATTACCCAGCCCCCGCCCCCATGGTAGATGGCCACACCAAATCCCTCTCTTCCATTCTCCTCCTGGGATTTTGGAATGCACGCACATACTCCGAGAGTAATTTTCAAGCTGCCGGATCTAAGACTTGAACATCGATCGATCATGTAGGGGTCTGGCAGTTTAACTACCATACCACCTGCTAGGTTCCCTAGCCAATTTTTTATAACTATACAAAAGGAGTCAGCAGATCATCTACACAGGTCAGCCTTAGGTAAAGACCTACTGTTGCCGGCTGCATGCCTGACTGCTGTGTGAATGTGGGTAAGAGGTGTCACCACACATGTAAAAGCTCTCTCGGCCTTGGCCAGACTCCAGTCACTGAAATACAATCTGCCGCTCCCTTTATTCTCCTGCTGACCTGGTCACAGGATCGGAAAATTCACTGTGGCAAGCATGTTGGCACACTCTCCTATGATATATAGAGTGTTCGGGAACCCCAGGCTTTGTGGATAGGTTCTTTAAAATTTCAGATCATTTAGCAATAACTTTCCAATATAATAACTTTTTCAAGGACAGGTTTGGAATTTCTTTTTTTTTTCTTTTTGTTCCAGGGCACACTCGCTCCCTGGAGAGAGACTGAGAGATGGGTTAAAGTGAGAAAGCACCCCAGTGAGGGATGGTTACACTGAAACCCCGTCTCCTTCATCTCTTTCTTTTCGGAATTTTGGGCACACACACATGCCCAGTGTGTTTCTCGAGTTTAGTCTAGACTTGAATCACACAGTCAGCTATGTGGGATCCAGCCACCTCAAATGTCATGCCACCAGCTGGCTCCAGGCTTGGAATCTTAAACAGAAATCAGAGGAAGCTAGAATCTCTACATACTGTTTGAGCACCCAAATGTAGGATGTAGCTGATGTAATATTATCTATTATATAACATGATATATAATATATATTAATTATATATTATATATATTACATGTAACATTATATATATGTATGTTTTATATATATATATATATATATATATCTCACCAGGTCTGCGACTTGAACCATGGATGACCATGTGGGAGTCCAGCACTTTAACCACCATGTCACCTGCTGGCCCACCAGTCTCTTTTCTATCCAGCTCCTGCTTTACACACAGGTGTAGCCCTGGGAGGCCTCAGAGGAGCAACCACACCCTCTGGACAAATCACATGTAGCCAATCTCCAACAGGCCTGGAGGCGCTGCCTTATGTCCTAAAGGGCTCACTTTAAGTTCTGTGTATCAGCCTCTGTGCAGCCAAACCATTTATGCTCTTCAGCCTTTATCAATAGATCTCACTGGTTCTCCATATGGGCCCTCTCTATCCAAAAGTAAGCAGAACAGATGCCCCTGCTTTTACTCAAATTCTATACTTACATATTATTATATACTTACAGAAATTCTGTGTGTGTGTGTGTGTGTGTGTGTGTGTGTATATATTATAAAATATCTGTAAGTGGGACCAACAGATGGCATAGCAATTACATTGCTGGACTCCCACATAGTCGATCTCAGTTTAAGTCCTGGACCCAGTGACTAGAAAATCACTCCAGGAGCATGTGCATGCATACTCAAGATTGGGGAGGAAGACAGACCGCAGCATGGCCATCACCCTGGGGGGTGGTTTATCACTTTCCCTCTCTGTGTCTGTCTCTCTCTCCCCCCACCCACAGCGAGTACAAGCATGCTAAGGCAAGAACCTCTAAAAATAATAATAATATATATATATGTGTGTGTGTGTGTGTGTGTGTGTGTGGTGTGTGTAT